CAGGCACACACACACACACAGGCACACTACCAGTTAACCTTTCAGAACTATTGCCCAGGCCTAAGGAAAATCTATCCATTAATTTACTTTCAGTACTGTGTTTTAATTCAGGGCCTGGTTCTGAGGTCCTACTATCGGAGCCATGCTCCCAGCTCTGTCATTTTATTTATTTATTTTGACAAAGCTTTTGCCTTTGGCCAGAATCATAGCAAATTACCACATCAGTTATGGCCACCTGCTCTAGAGGAGCTGCCCGTCTCCCAGGTGTGAACAAAAACCCAGTCACAAAAGGTCTGAGGCCTTAAACTTCCTCGTGGTGAAAGCTTTGGAACTGACTCCCACGCTTAGAGCCTCTCTTGGGCCCAGAACAGAATGCTTGCTCCAATTATCCTCCGAATCCCACTTCCACAGCTAGGACACGGAGGCTCAGCCTGTGTCTGCATCTCGAGTCTCCTCACTCTTCCAGTCCAAGTCCTTTCCCAGCCTAGTCCTTCAGAGCTGCTCCACCTCGGCCGCACCTGCCCCCCACCTCCCACCCTACTCGAGGCCCTTCGAGTTTGGAGGGTGGAGACCCAGTGGGCTGCCGGGCGCTGCGCATGCTCCGTCCTGCGGGCTCGACTCCCCGCCCAGAGGCCCCGCCTCCGAGCGGTTGGGATTTGAATCTCCGGCGGGACGCAGCCGGAACCGTCAACTTCTGGGTCAGTCATGGAGAGCCCGGGCCCCGTCGCGCGGTGCCCCGTGCAGGAGCAGCGTGCTCGTTGGGAGCGGAAGCGCGCCCGCACCGCTCGGGAGCTGCTGGAGACCGAGAGGCGCTACCAGGAACAACTGGGGCTGGTGGCCACGGTGCGGGCCCGGCGCACCCTCCCGGTGCAGGGCGGTACCCGAGGGAGTGGGTCTGTGCAAGGTCCGTGACCCAGGGGATGGAGGGCTCTGGACTGTCTAGGTGTTGGTCGGGAGCTCAGATCCTGGCTGCCCCTCGGCGTGGTCTCCTTTTTCTGTAGACTGAGACGCCTGCATCCTTCCTTCCACAGTACTTCTTGGGGATCCTGAAAGCCAAGGGGACCCTGCGACCACCAGAGCGCCAGGCCCTGTTTGGTTCTTGGGAACTCATCTATGGCGCCAGCCAGTGAGTGAAAGGGCGAGGGAAGAGGAAGCGCCTTGTCTTTGGCACGGGGCTGGGGGTGGGAGTCTGCCAATTTTCTCACCTGTGGCTTTGGCCCAATGCCTTCACCTGCTTGTTTCTCCTTCTGTAAAGTGGGGCCATTGCACTACCTCGGGGCAGGATAATGAGAATTAAATGGAGTGCTCCAGTAGTTGTTGGATTGCCCTTTGACTGCCTTGCCCACACAGAGAGCTGCTTCCCTACCTGGAGGAAGGGTACTGGGGACAGGGGCTAGAGGGCTTCTGTCCCCACCTGGAGCTCTACACCCAATTTGCTGCCAATGCAGAACGATCCCGGACCACCTTACAGGTAATCTGGAGATGACCTCAAATCCATCCTCTCTTCCTCCCTTGCCCCTTACACACAGCTCAAACACAGCTCCCTGCATTTGCAGAGCCCTCTGGTGCCCTGCTCTGGGTTAAGTTCCCTGTCCCAAGACCAGGTTTCCTCAGGAGCACATAGCACACTGAAGGCTGGTGTAATGCCTGCAATATAGAGTGGGGTCTCTCCTTTTCTGTCAACTCTTCCTTTTCCAGGAACAGCTAAAGAAAAACAAACGTTTCCGGAGGTTTGTGCGGCTTCAGGAAGGCCGCCCTGAGTTTGGGGGCCTTCAGCTCCAGGACCTGCTCCCCCTACCTCTGCAGAGGCTTCAGCAGTGAGTGAACGCCGCTAGACTCAAACCACCCTGACTATATTGAAGGTTTTAGGCGAGAAAAGGACCATGCAGAGAGGAATAAGATTGACAGAAAGTTTATTGGGGTGTGCTCCTGGGTAAACTCCCTGGTCAGGATCAGAGAGGTCACACTGAATGTAGTTGTAGCAGAGCTTTTATAGGCAGGGTAAAAGCAGCACTTGTGGTGAGTGGGGACTTGTGGCATGTAGCTTGTTTTGCCAGTTTGAGCGGCCTTAGGCCAGTGCATTGGAAGAATGGTTGACTCAGATGGTGTTTTTGATGGGGGGGTGGGGTGTGGTCTTTCTCTGCAGCAGCCTGACATTTTTCCCGGTTACCTACTTCCACCAGTGGCCTGACATATATGACTGCTACTCTCAGCTTTCTTATTTTTTTTGGGTCTGGTCATGAGGCCTGAACTCTGGGCCTGGGCGCTGTCCCTCAGCTCTTCAGCTCAAGGCTAGCGCTCTACCACTTGAGCCACAGCGCCACTTCCGGCTTTTTTTTTCTTTTTGCTTATGTGGTGCTGAGGAATCGAACTCAGGGCCTCAGGCATGCAAGGTAAGCGCTCTACCACTGAGCCATCTTCCCAGCCCCTGCTGCGCTCAGCTTTATGGGAAAGCCATGGGTCTATCCCACGCTCCACTCTCATCTGGACCAAATTGCTTCTAAGAAGCTTTTGCAAGCTAAATGTGAACCTGCAAGAGTACCTAGCATCTGCAGCCTCAAGCTCACATCTGTAGAAATCTATTACAGAGAGAGGACCTGCCCCAGGGCCTGAGTACCTGCCCCAGGATTTCTGGAAAAGTCCATTGAGATCAGAGGCCCGCCTCACCTAGAATTTCTGACCTTGAGATGACTTAAGGGCTCGTAGATTGTCCATAGCAATCTTGATTAACTTTAGTTTTCCTACTTGGCTTCCAACTATGGTCAGTTTGCCAAAAACTCTGCAAGGTAGGATTGGAAGTAGGCTGTGTGATATGAGTGCAAGTTCTGAGTCTCAGATGAAAGGGATGGGGGAGATGGGTAGAGTAACCAGAATCAGATCTTTCCTGGCTTTGCAAATGAGGGATGTATGGGGCCGATCTGTGTGCCGAGCAGGAGGAGAGGGGATTTTACCTGGCTCTGCTTCCCCTTGTACACTTCCCACTGTCCAATTCTAGGTATGAGAATCTCGCCAATGCTTTGGCTGAAAACACAGGTCCCAACAGCCCTGACCACCAACAGCTCACACGTAGGTTCTTGCTCCTCTGTATCTCATGCAAGAAGCTGCCTGGCCAGTATCTCCTGGTTCTGACCTCTAATACCTTGTATGTCCCTATTTTCAATTAATGTGTGTAATGTTCCCAATGCCTTGCCTTTTAAGTTAGCCCCTGACCCAGGTCAACTCCAGACTAGCCTTCCACCACTAGCCATTCAGAGTCAAAGTTGTATCGGAAATAAAGTAGAGAATGTTATTCCAGGGGCTGCCCGGCTAATAAGTCAGACTGTCCAGAGAGTCCATGCCATTGGTCAGAAACAGAAGAATGACCAGCACCTCCGGCGTGTCCAGGCTCTGCTCAGTGGACGCCAGGCAAAGGGGCTTACCTCAGGTAAACTGTATACTTCCCTTTCCTCTTTTGCCCTTGCTTACTAATGTTTCTCATTAGTCAGCACATACCATTCCCTCAGCCTCCCTTTCCTTCTGTTCCCATGGGTCCTTGCGCTACACTGACATAATAGCCCTCTCTTGTCCACCCCCTCACCTTACCCCAGGACGCTGGTTTCTACGTCAGGGCTGGCTGTTGGTGGTACCTCCCAGTGGGGAGCCTCGACCCCGAATGTTCTTCCTCTTCTCTGATGTGCTCCTTATGGCCAAGCCTCGACCCCCACTGCACCTGAAGAGTGGCACCTTTGCTTGTAGGGCCCTCTACCCCATGGCCCAATGTCAACTCCAAAGAGTCTTTGGACACTCAGGAGGCCCTTGTGGTGGACTGCTCAGTGTAAGTAATAGGTGGGAACCCTAGGCAAACATAGACCTCAGATGCTTATGGACCGTTTTATCACCTTCATAGTAATGAGAAAACAGCTGGGTATTGGGCTTCGTATTTAGTTCTCACCTCATCCTTGAATTACCTCTGGGAAAGCAAGGGCTTTAACTTAGACCTTTCTGAGTCAAGGACTAAGAGGTGGTTTCTCCTCAGCTGTCCTTCCCCCATGAGAAGCTACTGCTTATGTCCACAGACCAGGAAGAGCTGTCACGTTGGTACCACAGCCTAACTTTGGCTATCAGGTAAGTTGTATCTTCCCTTAAGAGTGCCGTGATGAGGCACAGGAGCTGGAAATGCATAGGTACATCCGTCTGGGACCTCCCCCAGCCCTACCGGGGGTAGTGTCTTAAACTGGGTGTTCATGTTGAAGTGCTGAACTGTCTTCTCTCCACAGCAGCAAGAACTAAAGGACTCTCAGCCAGGACTCACACAAATTCTGGAACTCAGGATATTCAGGGATAGATCAGAGCCAGAAGCCCAAAGGAATCTTCTGCACTAAACAAAGTATAAAACTCTTCAGAGTTGAACAAGCTACTCTAGGACATTTGACCAGCTCTTAAGAATTAGAAAAGCAACTCCAATGCAACTGAATCTTTGCTGAACCAGATCCTTCAATACTGATGCAGGGTTATGAGGCTGATAAGTGAATGCTGACTGTGGCTATTTATGCACTTTGCAGCTTTGTAAAAGTTGCTATTTTTGTATTATGTATAGTTTCTTTTTCTTGAGGCAGGGTCTCACTGTGTAGTTCAAGCTGGCTTCAAACTTAGCAACCCTCTGGCTTCACTTTGAGTCCTAGGATACAGGCACATACCACTATACCTAGCTGTTATGTACAACTCCTATAATTTATTTTCCCACTGGATTTTAATAAAGTGGTGTTTTGTTTTGTTTTTGGAAAGAACTTTGTCTCATGAGGAAAGGAATTTGGGGTCCCAAAGGCATGCTGGTGGCCTCAGGAATATAGGGAAGAGCTGGGGCTCCCTCTGGAAGACAGCCTCTTTTGTCCTAATAAGGAAAGTTTTTCAAGAAGGCTCAATTGTTTTTAAGTACCTAGTATGGTGTGTGTAAAACCATCTGGGAGGAAAAAAGCACACAGGGATATCCAGTCACAAGAGCAGACTTTGTTTTACCAGCTCTTCAGCTGCTGGGGCCCTTTGTGAAAGCCTTGCCGCATCTTCTCCTTAGCCCCTGTTCCACTTCCCAGGAAGTAGCTAGGTTCCATGTCTCTGGGCTCCAGTTTATGGGCTCCTCCTGGGTCTCACTGTCACCAGCTTCCTGCTCATCCTTTTTTCTCAGAACCTCAGGAAAGAGTGTGCTGGCTTCTGTGATGGGCAAGATCAACAAGTTCCAGTGTCAGAGACTGTCTCTCTCTCACCAGACTCCCCTTCCAAGCCTTTACCTGGCTCTGGAACCCCCACATCCTTGTCCTGTTTGCAGTCTTGCAGAAGTTGGTGGATGGTCTGTAGCTTTATGTTCAGAAGCTCTCGCTGGGCTCCAACCAGAGTAGTCACCCTGCAGAAATATCCACTCAGGGGCTGCCCAGGCTCTCCTTGCTCCGCCCACCTGCCACAAAAATCTCACCGCTCAAAAAGGGGGTCTAGCTGGGCCACCAGGTTGTTCAGGTGCTGCTCTGTCTGGACCAGTTGTTGTGTCAACTGAGCCAGTTGTTGTTCTGAGGGCAAGGAAGAAAAGATCCGGTGGGTGACGTTTACTTATCTTCTGCTGGCCCTTGACCCTTCCCCATCCACCCTCCAAGCACAGACTTCTCTCCTCAACTCACCTGACTGCAGTGATTTCTTCTGGCCTTTTTCCTTTTGGAGAACTGTAGCCTCATCTTTGCCCTGTTTTGGAAGGAAGGAAGGGCAATCAATACTGCAACAAGGTTCAACACCTCAGTCTCCAAAGCTAGTAAGAAGAGAATTTGCAGCAGAGAAAATACTGAGTTTTTGTTTTTAAACCTCAAAGAATCATAATCCTTTTTAGTTTAGCTCCTTACCCAGGATATGAAGCAACACCAGTGGCTGGTCAGTTGAAACATTTTCAGGAATGAGCAACTAACTATCTTGTTTGACAAAGTTGTAGTTGTCAGTATACAAAGCCAAAATTTGTTCATATATCTTCTTTCCATGATGCTAATTAGAACTGCCTAAATAATGTCTGCTTTTTCAAATTCCTCTTTGGAAATTTAAAGACAGTAATAAACATCCACGGCTTCTTTCCCTAATCTTTTCTGGTGCAAACTCTCCACTCTTTTTTTTTTTTTCCCTTGCTTTGTGCCAGTACAGGGGCTTGAACTCACAGGCTCATGCTCTCACCTGGTATAATACCTTATTTAGAGCACGAATTTGGGAATGAGTTGTCACATCACACAATGAATTTAGAGGTCAACTGGAATGCCTATGTTGCCCTCAGATGGTATTGCTAATTTGTTTCTTCCTTACTATACTGGGTCAAGTTCATGGAGGGCACACACACACACACACACACACACACACACACGTCAGGAATAAAATAAAGGAATAAAAATGTTTAATCCTTATTAGATTTCGTCATTGAATTGAGACCCTTGCCTGTCAAGTCCACTGGGATCATTATTAGCTATCTTAGTTGTGTATCTTGTAATGGTCCAGCTTTCTTTCCTAAACGCAAATAAATGACAGGATGAGGGCTGAAGGCACGGCCCTGGGCCATACTGCTTTCCGTTTCAAGAGTTTTAATCCATCAGAATGTATGGTTAACTCACATTTCTCCCAAGGAGACAAACTGCTTAGCTTCTTGAACTCTAGACCTACTGTAGCTGCAGCAATCAACCGTTTGTACCAAGGTTGAAGGCTTGTCAGAAATCTCACACTCATGGGATTTTATGGAATTCAAATCCCAGTTCCACTAGTTACTGAGTAGTGACCTGAGCGAGTGACCACTCTTCTTTGGATTTTGGGAGGCCTACATGTGTCGGTCATTATTTACAGTGTACAGGTGCCCCTCACAGGCATCACCTCTCTGGATTCTCGAAACACCCTAAGGTGGGCAATTTCGCCAAGGAACTAGTCTCGGTCCTAGGGGCCTCCGGGGAGCGGTGTCTGGCTCTCGTCCCACAGCGCCCCCGCGGGGGCCTCGGGCCCCGGGCCCCCCCACCCGCGGCCGTCCCGCACCTGCAGACACTTGTACAGCACAAAGGCCACGACGGCCGCGGTGTACAGCGCCCCCAGAGGCAGCGCCCCGGCGCGGGCCCGCTGGCGCTGGTCCTCGGGTGGCCGGCGCCGCCGGGGTTCGGTGGCCCCAGGGCCGACCTGGACGCGGGGCCCTGTGGAGGGAGCGCAGACACCGGTCAGCACAACTCGGGCTTCTCCCAGGCAGTCCAAGCCTCCCTCCAGTAGCCCTGGCTGGTACCTGGGTGTGCTCCGAGGTCGGGACTGGGGTGTTCTCCAAGGACCCCGAGAAGCGCAGCAACAAGCAGCAGCCCCAGGACACCCGGGAGGAAGACTGCGCCCGCCATAGTTGGCCCAAAGAGGGCACACACAGCGCCTAGCCGTACTAGCACCGGGCTGCCAGTTCCAGTGCGCAGGCGCACAAGCGACTCTAGCGGGTCCCACTGCGGGCCTCCTAGAGAGGCCACGCCCTTTCACGAGAGGCGGGCTGCGGTAGATTTGCATAAAGCCTTATCAGTCTGGCTTTTCTAAGTACATTATTCACCTTTTTAGTTTTCTGCTAGGCAGGATGAGTTAGGTATTAGTAGTCTAAACTGCTATATATAGAGAGACAAAATAGATTGCTTTTTAGATTTCGTGACACTAAGTCACCCTAATCTTAAGATTCTTCCTGATCTGGGCCTATAAGTATTCCGAAGCCCAGCGTAAGGAGGAAGTTCGTGCTGAAGGCCTGTTTCCTAGGCTACAAACGGGGGACTAGTTCCCGGCCAACCCGCCTAGGGGAAAGTCCCCGGACCCTTGGCAGAGAGTGCCACGTGTGTACGCACGCAGACTTACCCCACCTCGCACTGGTTAGTCCGCCAAGATGCGACCCCGCTCCTGTGGCGGGCGAGCTGAGCGGCGTGTGACGGGGCGTCATCCGTCAGCTCTCCTAGTTACGCAGGCAGTGCGCCTCCTAGCGCGCCAACCACACGGGGCTCATTCTCGGCACGGATCTTCTTTATGGGCTTAGTGACACTTTTCTAGTTTCCGTCTCCGACAGAGCCTCCTACTGCCCTCTCCATATGACAGGTGCCATCAGTAACCTCCATTTGAGTAGCACGGAGATTTGAATGTGGGCAGCTTCCATGGGCCCATTACGGCAGGAAGGCTAAGGAGGGCGATGTAGTTCATGCACGCATGTACACGTGTGCGTAGTAATTAGGATCAAAGTACTTTATGTGTGAGCAGGGAAATAGAATAATGAGCCCGGCTGTAATCCTAGCTACTCAGGATCTTATCTCCAATTAAACCAGCGAAGAGCTGTGAGTGGAGTATTGCTCAAATGGTAGAGCGCCAGCCTTAAGTGGAAAAAGCGAAGCAAGGCCCCGAGTTTAAGTCCCAGTAATGAGAAAGAAAAGAAAAAGAAACCCACTAGATTTTGGTTTGGTTTGGAAGGATTTCTCCAGTCAGGGAAATGTTCCACAGTATCATTTTGCTCCCTGGGACTGAGGCTTGTACTTAGGTCATCACGTTCGTGCTCTTAGTTAGCACTCTGTCACTTAAATCATGCCTCCCGTTTGGCTTTTATATTGGTTAATTGAAAAGTCTCTCCAACTTTTCTTCCTGGGCTGATTTCAAACTGTGATCTCCCAGATCTCAGCTTCTTGAGAACTAAAATTACAGACACCAACCACCAGTATCTAGCTTATTTACTTATTTTTTAAATCAATTCAGTTGTGTTAAAATAGGAGTCCTCACCATTGCCCACATTATCCTCAAACTTCTGGACTGAAGAGACTCTTTTTTGTATGTGTTGGTCTTGGGGTTTGAACTCAGGGCCTAGCCACTGTCCCTGAGCTTTTTGCTCAAGACTAGCACTCTACCACTTGAGCCACAGCTCCACTTCCAGCTTTTTTGGTAGTTAATTGGAGTCTCGACGACTTTTCTGCCTGAGCTGGTTTTGAACCATGATTCTTAAATCTCAACCTCCGGAGTAGCTAGGATTACAGGCATGAATTACCAACACCCAGCTATTAAAAACAAAACAAAAAAACCCACCTCTCTGTTAACCTCTTGAGTTACTTGTATTGGAGGCAAGTCACCTTGTCCAGCTCCTTGGGGATTTTTTTTTGCTTTTTTGTTTTGTTTTTCAGTCAGGATCTCACTGTATAGGTCCCTTTGCCCCAAAACTTAGAATCTTATTTTAGTCTCTATAGTGCTAGTTGGTAGGAGGACCCTATCCGAATGTAACAGCCTACTTGAAAACCAGTGAAAGCAAAACTGAAAAATAAGGCAAAGAAGAGCTGAGGGTATGGCTCAATGGTAGAGTACATGTTCAGCAACTTTAGGCACTAAGTTCAGACCCTAATACCACCCAAATCTATTGGCATCAAGGGCATGAGAGTTCTCTGGGTTCAACCATGTAAATGAGAATACCTTTAAAAGATAAGCAAGCCAGGTACAAGTGGCTCAAGCCTGTAATCCTAGCTACTCAGGTGGCTGAGATCTGAGGATCTTCGTTCAAAGCCAGCTTGGACAGAAAAGACCCTGTGAGACTCTTATCTCCAAGTAACCACTCTAAGACCAGAAGTGGCTCTGTGGCGCAAGTGGTAAAGCACTAGCCTTGAGTACAAAGAGGCTCAGGGACAATACCCACCTCTGAGTTCAAACCTCACAACAACCACAAAAGAAATTGTTAAAAAAAATAAAAGATAAGCAACAAAACATGCTAGTCTGAAGCTAGTACATTATTAAAACTCATCAGTGATCACAATAATTTAGAATTAAGATGTATAAAAAGATATTGGGGGAATAGTGTTTTGTCACAGATTTTAGAAATGCTCCAATATAGAGATAATTAAAAGAGACTGAATTTTAGTTGATATTATTTTTAATTTTTGTCAATTGTGGGGCTTAAACTCTGGGCCTGGGCGCTGTCCCTGAGCTCTTCAGCTCAAGGCAAGCACTCTACCACTTGAGCCACAGTGCTACTTCTGGTTTTCTGGTGCTTAACTGGAGATAAGAGTCTCAAGGACTTTCCTGCCTGTACTGGCTTTGAACTGTGATCCTCATATCTCAGCCTCCTGAGTAGCTAGGATTACAGGCATGAGGCACTGGCGCCCCAGCTTAGTTGATGTTATTTTTTTAAAGTCTCTACAGACAATATAATCCCTTATTGCCTAAAGTTGAAGGCAGGCCTTTAGTCAGTCCCATCCTTAGCAGGCTATTGTACCTTAAATATAAATGTATATTCTGAATGGAAAACCCTTCTGCCCAAGTCACTAGGGCACAAGGTTTGGCTGTCTCGAGGGTAGCAGACACTTGCAGAAGTGAACAGGGCAAAGAGGCTCAGTGTGCCAGGCGAGTCCTGGGGCAGAGATTCCTTTAAAGCAATTAACTGAGTGATGTGTTCTTAGCCACCCTACAGTGACAGTAGGATGCAAGGGGAGAATTTAGCTTCCTCTCTTCCTAGCCACTACAGTACTAACCATGACCATAGTCATCTAAGTGTATTTCCTTCTAGGACTGCCTGAGGCTGTGGAGGGGAAGCCATCCTGAACTGGAGCATGCTCATTGAAGAGGCCATTCTCCACAGGACTAGAGTGGGAGAGAAGGGGTGGCCACATCTTGTAGCAGAAAGAGTCCTTGTAGCCCTGCCCCATGCCAGTTCTGCCTTTCGGAGTCTTTCTGGGTTCACGTACACGTGGCACAGAACACTCAGGCCTGAGTGGGATTCTGATGAAGGAGGCCCAGGGCCGTGAGGCCTGAGGGCCAGGGACGTGCAGGAGCTGCCGGTGGCGCAGGTGCAGGCACAGGGCGGGGTCTTTGTTCTGGTGTTCTTTCCTCCCCTCCCCCTTCCTCCCCGGAAACCAGCAACCTTGCCACCACCGGTATTGGGGATGCTGAGCTGTGGGGGCCAGGCCCAGGGTGGGATGGGAGTAAGGGAGGCAGTGGCAGCTGTCTGGGCATGAACAGGGCAGGGTGCTTATGGATCTTGCAGTCAGACCAGCAGTGATGAACAGAGGGGACAACTGCACCCCCCATGGTGACGATGCCAATCTACTAGCGCCTGGTGAGCTGGGCGGGGCAGGGGCTTCTGGGGGAGGTGTCATGTGGCCCCATGTCCCACCTGCAGCCGTCAGGGGTAGGAGGTGGGACTGGGCAGCAACACCCCAATCTGCTCCCCTTCTGCAGGTATCCCCTCTATAACCCAGGCCTGGGGGCTGTGGGCCCTCTTTGGGGCCATGACGCTGCTGCTTCTCATCTCAGTGGCTGCGCGCTTGTCTCAGAGGGCCACTGGCAAGAGCAAGAGCCAACCCGAGCCGGGACGGTGAGTTGATGGAGGGCAGGAATGGGTTGATCAAGAGTTCCTTCTTAACCAAGAAGGCCTCACTTAGCTCCCAAACTGTGTTGCAGCCCCGGAGGGAGTGCGGAAGAGACTCCCCTCTATGGGAATCTGCATTATCTACAGACAGGTAGGATGCTGGGGAAGGATGGACACAGGGCAGGTCCCAATGGGACTGATTGGGGACAAAGAACTCACCAGATTCCTCTTCTCCATTCCAGGATGCCTGTCTCAAGAGCCAAGAGCAGACCAGCAGGATCCAGCTCCTGGAAGCTCCACCAGGGTGAGTTGGTGGGGCCAAAGGGAAGGGGAGGGAAAGAAATGGGGGCTTTTCCCAAAGGTCCACAGAACTTCTAACCAGCTTGTTTCTCCAGGCTGCAGAAGAGGTGATGTGCTACACCAGCCTGCAGCTGCGGCCTCCTCAGGCTCGGCTCTGCAGCTCTGGGACCCCCATCAAGTACTCGGAGGTGGTGCTAGACTCTGAACCGAAGCCCCAGGCTGCAAACCCTGAGCCAGAGCTCTATGCCTCAGTGTGTGCCCAGACTCGCAGGGCCAGGGCTTCCTTCCCAGACCAGGCCTACGCCAACAGCCAGCCTGCACCCAGCTGAGACCAGCCTGCCTCTGTGGACACATGTGGCTTGCTTCCGCATCACAGAAGCCCCTGCTGCCCTGCCTGGGGCATGCCTGTGCTCCAATTACCCCCAGGACATGGAGTCATTGCCTAGTAGCAGGTGGTGTCTTCTGGGAACTTCCTATCTGAGCTTCAATGGACACATCTCAGGGTAGGACTGATGCCTGGTTTCCTGACATGGAGGCGGCAGACAGTGGCCCCCTCCCCACATCTCTTTTCTGGGTGTTCCCTTCAGCCCGTTCTCTTCACTTCCTCCTCATTTTTAACCAGTTTAACCAGCCTGGCTCTTCTCTCCTCCCTCCCAACCTACCAGGACACCTCAGTGTCTCTTCAGGCACAGGAAGTGGGCAGGAGAGGAGGTAAAAGCCTGAGAGGATGTGGGTAGAATGCTTGGAAACCCACAGGCTGGAAGAGTCCTGGGACCTATGGACTAGAGAGGGATGAATCCCAAAGCTTGGCTTCTGATCCGAGAACTGTGGCAGAGTGCACTCTCCAGGTGGCTGTCTTTGATGTTCTGATTTCAAATAAAACTTCTCAAAAAGAAAAATAGTGTTTAGATTTTAATCTAGAGGCTGGAGACTTGCAACAGACACCCACTCCCCTCCCCGCAGGATTGGTGTGTGAGCTCTGCCATCTGCCACAGTGAACTGGTGGAAGGTGCCTAACTGGAGAAGAGGGACCAAGAGTTTGGTGCAGGGATGGAGCCCAGGTCTTCCTGTTGGTAGAAATTTACTCACAGCCAATCCATTGCCCCTTGGGTCTCTGACAAACTCAGCCCCTAAACTGCTTTTCCCTTCTATAACTGTGGCTCACCAACCTGCTGGGTGCTTCCAACAATTCCCCCGTTCATTCGCTTGTCCCCTGCAAGTCTCATCAGTACTCCTGTTTTGCATCATTGGCCCTGCCCGCATTCTGTTATCACTATGCTCCTCTCGTGGTGTTCTCTGGACCCTGTCACTCTGGCAGTACTGCCCCTGCTATCTCCAGTTCATTCTCTCTATGGTCACTGACAGCAGCTTTGTGTGTCACCACTTTCATTTTAATCTCTAATCAATAATCAATCTTCTCTGCCTGTCTACACAGCATCTGCTTTTGTTGTTGTTGTTGTCAGTCTTGGGGCTTGAACTCTGAGCCTAGGCACCATCTCTCAGCTCTTCAGTATTCTACCACTTGAGCCATAGCACCACTTTCAGTTTTCTAGTGGCTAATTAGAGATAAGAGTCTCTGGTAGCTAATTAGAGATAAGAGTCTTTCCTGTACAAGCTAGCTTGTACAGGATCCTCAGATCTCAGCCTCCTAAGTAACTAGGATTTTAGGCGTGAGCTACCAGCACCTGGCTCATTTGCTTTGTTTTTAAAGCAGCTTCCTGGACTATGTATATGCTATGCTGCCTTAAATGGGTTGGCAACAATATTGGAATTGTGGGCTTGGGAACCAGACCACCTGAGTTCAAATTCTGCATCATTTGCTAGCTATGCTGTTCTTAAGCAACTGGGTCTTGTTTCTGAATCTTTAAGATGGGAAAGATATTAACACTATTTTGTTAATGTTACTGTTGGTCATGGGGCTTGAATTCAGGGTCTACACTGCCTGAGCTCTTTTTTTTTTTGCCAGTCATGGGGCCTGAATGTGGGCCTGGGTGCTGTTCCTCAGCTCTTCAGCGCAAGGCTAGTGCTCTACCATTTGAGCCACAGTGCCAGTTCCAGCTTTTTTCGCTTATGTGGTGCTGAGGAATCAAACCCAGGGCCTCATGCATGCAAAGCAAGCACTCTACCATCGAGCCACTTTCCCAGCCCCTGCCTGAGCTCTTTTGTTCAAGGCTAGCACTCTACCACTTTGAGCCACAGGACCACTTCTGGTTTTCTGGTGCTTAATTGGAGATGAGTCTCTGCCTGGGCTGGCTTCAAACTGTGATCCCAAGCCTCCGAGTAGCTAGGCAAGAGCTATTGGTGCCTGCCCAATGCTTTTTTTTTTTTTTTTTAATTGAGGGCTGGGTGCAGTTGCCACAGATCTGTGATCCCAGCTATGCAGGAAGGCAAGGTAGGAAGATCAGGGTCTAAGGATGGCCCAGGGCAAGGTTTTACCTGAAAAATAACTAAAGCAAGTCTGGGCCTGCTTTAGTTACACTTGTAATCCTTGCTACTTGGAAGGCACAGATAGAGTTCAGTTCAAGGTTAGCTTGGACAAAATGCTAGTGAGAGCCCATCTCAATCAATAAACTGTATCTGATGGCTCACACCTGTCAGCCCAGCAGTGTTAGGCTCACCTTAGACAAAAAAAAGTTTGAGACTGCATTTGAAAAATAACTAAAACAAAAAAGGGTTTGGGGGTGCAACTCAAGTAGTAGAGTGTCCATCTAGCAAGTGTGAGACCCTGTTGTCAAACTCCAGTACCACCAAAACCAAAAAGTTATGTGAGGTAAATGAATTACCATTATGTAAAGCACTTGAAGACAGTGAGTGTTCAGCTGTTCCAGAAATTATCTTTAAAAATCAGCAAAACAATCTCTAGAGGAGAGGTGACTTTTAGCAGGGGCATGATACATAGGGACAGTCTACCAGAAGAATGGAAGGACAGAAAGCAATTCAGTGGAGTTGCTGATGGCAATTCATTCTTCATGATGATATGAGAAAGAACAACAGTAGGATGAGGTTGGTGGATAGCATAGACAGAAGCCAGGTCACCCAGAGTCTGTAGGCCTTTACAAAGGGTCTGGCCTCTATCTGGGAGGAGAGAGGGGATGAGTGAATGTTTTAAACAAGGGATGGGCACAGTCAGAAGGCAGCTAGCTGCATTGCTGCTCTATGTCCTGGAGGCAGGCTGAACTGTGAGCTCTGCAGAGCTCTTGGGAAGCTGTTGCAAAATGTGGTAGAAAATGGAGGCAATGGGCTGGGAAGGTGGCTCAGTGGTAGAGTGCTTGCCTTGCATGCCTGAGGCCCTGGGTTCGATTCCTCAGCACCATATAAGCAAAAAGAAAAAAAAGCCGGAAGTGGTGCTGTGGCTCAAGTGGTAGAGTGCTAGCCTTGAGCTGAAGAGCTGAGGGACAGCACTCAGGCCAAGAGTTCAGGCCCCACAACCGGACCAAAAAAAAAAAAAAAAAGAAAATGGAGGCAATCACAACCATAGGGTGGAGAGGAGGTGATGGATTAGAAAATGTTCAGGAGATTTAAAAGAAAGCCCCACCTATTATACCCTCCTTTCTAGTTACACATCCCAACCCCATCTCAATAATACAGCCAAGCTCCAACCCATCCAGCCCACCACCTCCCTCACCGTGGCAACACCACACACACTTTATCCGTTTGGCAGCCCCTTCCACCTTTCTTGCAGCCTCTCCAAGTCCATCCTTTGCTCTGGCCAAAGCTGTGATGTGATGAACCCTTTCTTAGCTTCAACTTTCCACGGGGGACAGGAAACACGATCTCCCTTTAAGCCTGAGCCCTGAGCCATCTCCACCTACGGCTCTGTCCCGCGTGACAGCGCTTTCTGAGGTCTTAGGAGCAGAAGAAGGGGGAAATCGAGGTTTTTACGTCTAAGCTTCTCTTCTTCCCACTTACAGAGCCCCAAAGATAACCAACCATAAAGCAGGTAACCTCGCACTTGACGGTAGGGTGGTTTTCCATGGGTATTGTCCCCAGTAAATTCAAACGGCCCTGGGTTGTTCTTAGCCCTCTGAGGACCCCAACCTGGGCCTCCTCGCTAGGAGGCACTCAGGTCATGATTAAGGGCGTGCAGGTGGGGCTGTGTGGGAGGGAGGGTGGTTGTGGGGGCGGACACAGGATGTGGCAAGCCACCCGCAGGGGCTGTTCTGAGACATGCTGTGCCTCTAAAGATGGATCGGGGTGCCTGCGCAAAGAGAATGTGTGAGCTTCAGCCTGGAAGAGGCCGTGTTGGAATTCACGTCCCCTGGGAATCAAGGTTGAAGGCTCTCTGTCTCTAGAACCAGCTCTTCCAGCCTGCACCGGGGTTGCTCAACGCGAAGCCCCAGCGTCCTCGCCTGGAGAGCTGTGGCAGTACCACCACGTCTGCGCAGGCGTATTGAGGCCCTGCCCGTGGCATCCTGGGAGTTGTAGTCCCACGGTTTGGAACCCCTCCCAAGTTTAGCCCAGGATAGCTCAGAGTCCCAGGCCTCAGAATTCCAGATCATCTGACCACCAACTCAGTCTTGGAGTAACTCATTAATTGAATTTGTGTAAAATGACTTTTTTCCCCGTCCGTTGTGGGGCTTGAACTCAGGGCCTGAGCGCTGTCCCTAAGCCTCTTTGTGCTCAAGGCTAGTGCTCTACCATTTGAACCACAGCACCACTTTTGGTTTTTGAGTCGTTAATTGGAGATTAGAGTCTCTTGGGGACTTCCCTGCCCAGACTGGTTTCAAAGGCAATCCTCAGATGTCAGCCTCCTGAGTAGCTAGGATTACAGGCATGAGCCACTGGCACCTGGCTTTTTTTTTTTTTTTGAACATGTGGCTACAACAAAGTGTAATTTGAAATTTGCTTTCCTTCCTGTTCTGGAAGCCTGGGTTCCCTTATCTTCTTTCTCCTCTAGGGCCCTTGATTTTGTTTTACCTTCTTGTCTCCACCACTTAAATTTTTCTCTGTGCAGGCCCTCAGGACACAGTTCCTTGAATCTGGGAACATACAGCTCCAGCTAGTCAAGTCTCATCTTACCAAATACCTATTTATTTTGGAGCCCCAGGTGCTTTCCTTAGTGGATTTCTTTACCTTGGTAGTATATGGCTCCAGTTAGAAGTGTCCTCTCCTGGGGAAATTTGGGGGGGGGGGAGCCGGGAGGGCAGACTCTTAAGGAAGTCACTAAGACCTTATGGGCATGTTTTCCCTCTTTTTGAGATCTCATTTTTGAGAGTGGGGTTAACTTAAGACCTGAAGAGAAAGGATCTTAGAGATAAAGTTTCATCAATAGAAGTTCTTAAAGAATTACTTAAAAGTGAGAACAGCCCCTGAAGCTATGCAGCCAAAGCCTTGTTCTGTGGTCCATCAAGATGGGGTTAAATTCGAAAATGGTTTTGGCTACAGGAGAGGAAAGGCCAGAGACAGGCCAATTTTTTATGACTTCATTTGAAACCCTGGATCCAGCCACACCCAGAGCTACATCTGTCTGCTAAACTTTTCAATTATATAAGTTCATAAATGCTCTTTTTTTGCTTCAGTAAAAGTTGGGTTTTCTATTTCTTATGACCACAAGTTCTGACTAATGCTGTGGGCAAAGACCAGCACACTAGGGCCAGACGAAGATACTGAATCATTGATCTCTTCACTTACTGCTTAGTTCTTCAACTTTGAATTTAAGTTCAAAGTTCTCCTTTTGAATTTAAATGCATGATTGTGCCTGGTTGCTGGCCTGTCTCCATTTTGTCCCTCTCTGGTTCTAGAATTGTTTTTAATATTTTCCTTCTTGAGTCACCTTCATCTGCAGTTGCCTTGGATTCCTAGAAGGACAGGACTGATAAATAAGTTTATGACAAGGGACTGAAACTACCCCAAACAATCATAAGCCTCACAGGACAGCTCCCC